CCCGTGTCCCCTGCATCGGCAGGCGGACTCTCAACCACTGCGCCACCAGGGAAGCCCTAAAATATACATTTTAAATGTTTTGTTTTTCCCCCCAGATAACCTGTTTGTGACCAACCAGAATGGATACTACTGTCACTCTCAGACGAGTTTGGATCGAGCCCAGATTGACCTGAGTGGTCGCCTCCGCAACGGCAGTGTCTACAGTGCACACAGCACCAGCTCCTTAAACAACCCCCAGCCCTACTTGCAGCCCTCACCCATGTCCTCGAACCCGAGCATCACCGGGAGTGACATCATGAGGCCTGACTACGTCCCGTCGCACCGGCACAGCGCCCTGATCCCCCCGTCCTACCGCCCGACCCCCGACTATGAGACGGTGATGAAGCAGCTCCACAGAGGCCTGGCGCCCGCCGAGAGACAGAGCCACTCGCTGAGAAACCTCAACATCGGCAGCTCGTACGCTTACAGCAGGCCCGATGCTCTGGTCTACAGCCAGCCCGAGATCCGGGAGCACGCGCACTTCAGCTCCCCCCCGTCGGCCCACTACCCGTTCAACCTGAATTACAGTTTCCACAGCCAGGCCCCTTACCCGTACCCCGCAGAGAGGCGGCCGGTGGTGGGTGCCGTCAGCGTGCCCGAGCTGACGAACGTGCAGCTCCAGGCCCGGGACTACCCAGCCCCCAACATCATGAGGACGCAGGTGTACCGCCCGCCGCCCCCCTACCCATACCCCAGGCCCGCCAACAGCACCCCTGACCTGTCCCGCCACCTCTACATCAGCAGCAGCAACCCTGATCTCATCACCCGGCGGGTCCATCACTCTGTCCAGACGTTCCAGGAGGACAGCTTGCCGGTGGCGCATTCCCTGCAGGAGGTCAGCGAGCCCCTGACCTCGGCCCGGCATGCCCAGCTCCAGAAGAGGAACAGCATTGAGATCGCCGGGCTGACCCACGGCTTTGAGGGCCTGCGGCTCAAGGAGAGGACCATGTCGGCGTCGGCGGCAGACGTGGCACCGCGGGCCGTCTCCGCGGGCTCCCAGCCAAACGTCGTCATGGAAAGGACAAAGCGAGAAGAGGACGATGAGCAGCAGAGCCTGAGATACGGTCACAAAAAGTCTCTTTCAGACGCCACCATGCTGATACACAGCAGCGAGGAGGAGGAGGAGGAGGACTTGGAGGAGGGGCGCGGGGCGCAGGCGCGGGCGCCCCGGGGCAGCTACTCCCAGCAAGCCCCGCGGAGTGGCCCCCACACGCCCGGCCCCCAGGCCGCCGGCCCAGCGCACAACCTTGAGTCCAAGGCCCACGTCACTGAGGCCGAGAGGAAGGGGAGGGCCCGCAGCCCAGTTCCCACGCCCGGGGAGGACCCGCGGCCCAGGAGGGACGGGCTGCTGACGCCCTCCATGTCCGAGTCTGACCTTACCACGTCGGGGAGGTACCGCGCCAGGAGGGACTCTCTGAAGAAGAGGCCGGTGTCAGATCTCCTCTCCGGAAAGAAGAACGTCGTGGAAGGGCTTCCGCCGTTAGGGGTGAGCCGTTCAGTGTGCACGGGGTGGGGGTGGGGGGCTCACCCAACCCAGCACGGTGCCCTGTACACCTGACTTTTCTCAACACCTTCTGCCCTCTATCCATCTTTTCTTTCATTCATTACTTCTGATGTTTTTCAGCTTTTTTCCTTTTGAGTTGTTTCAACTCCCCCCACCCCCAGCCAACACATATTTTGCCCAGTTTTTGTCTTATTTTGTAATACTTTGAGTTTGATTATCTGTGGAAACAATGGGGAGGGATTAGAATTTTCATGATTTTGCTGGAGGTAATAACTTAGGTGAAGTGAAAGGTAAATGTAGGAGGCTCTGTGGAATGGAAGAGAAAGAATGAATGGGAAGTTTTAGCAATGCAGTGTGGTGGAAAAGGAAGTAAAGGTTTCACTACTTTAGCCAGGATTGCTTTGTCAGCCACCCGTAAAAATACCCCGCTGTGGTGCAGGGTCTAGGGTGCTCTTGTTCAGTTTGCTTGTTTGGGGTCTGAGGGAAGCATTCCCCGAAGTGTCCCTAATGTATTCCTTATGTCACAGTCCGTGTGGGTACAGCTTGAACTGCTGGGCTGTGATCTCTGAGGGCTGGAGGGTGATTCTGGAGCCGGGAAGGTGGCACTTTGTCAAGACAGAAAACCCAAGAGCTCCAGGTCTCTTTAATTATTCTTTATATCTTTATTGGAGTATAATTGCTTAACAATGTTGTGTTAGTTTCTGCTGTACAACAAAGTGAATCAGCTGTAAGTATACATATTCCCCATATCCCCTCCCTCTTGAACCTCCCTTCCACCCTCCGTATCCCACCCCTCTAGGTGGTCACAAAGCACCAAGCTGATCTCCCTGTGCTATGCAGCAGCTTCCCACTAGCCATCTGTGTTACATTTGGTAGTGTATATATGTCCATGACACTCTCTCACTTCGTCCCAGCTTCCCCTTCCCGCTCCCCCATCCCATGTCCTCAAGTCTGTTCTCTATGTCTGTGTCTTTATTCCTGCCCTGCCACTAGGTTCATCAGTACCATTTTTTTAGTTTCCATATATGTGCGTTAGCATACGGCATTTGTTTTTCTCTTTCTGACTGACTTCACTCTGTATGACAGACTCTAGGTCCATCCATCTCATTACAAATAATTCAATTTTGTTCCTTTTTATGGCTGAGTAATATTCCATTGTATGTATGTGCCACATCTTCTTTATCCATTCATCTGTCGATGGACATTTAGGTCGCTTCCATGTCCTGGCAGTTGTAAATAGTGCTGCAGTGAACATTGTGGTACGTGACTCTTTTTGAATTATGGTTTTCTCAGGGTATGTGCCCAGTAGTGGGATTGCTGGGTCATATGGTAGTTCTAGATTTAGTTTTTTAAGGACCCTCCGTACTGTTCTCCATAGTGGCTGCACCAGTTTACATTCCTACCTCCAGGTCTCTTTAAAAGAGAGACTGAGTGAACTGAGAACCCAAGGAAGGTCCCTTGTAGAAAATGCAGCTCCTTAATATTCAGGATGATAAATAACCATGGTTTAAGCACTTTTTATCTACTTGAGGCAAAATATAAAAGAGCATAACATCATCTCCAGCTGCCATTCCCAGAGCATTTACCATGTGCTGAGCAGGCCACCTGCTTTACCATGTCCAGTTTACAACAGGCCTATTGTTTCTACAGATGAGAAAATAGACTCTGAGATATTAAGTAACTTTCCCAAGGTCACACAGCTAATGAGTGACAGAACTGAAATTCTAAACCCATATTTATCTCCGCAGCTGGTTCTCCTGTTTTCCACGTTGTTCTGCATCGAAGTAGTTTATTTTATTAAGTAATAATTGCTTGTCTGAGCTTTGCTGTTCTCTGTCTTTCCACTGAAACCTTTTAACTTTGAGCTCCTCAGCTTTGCCCAGGCATCTGTGGCATTGTCATGTCAGCGTGTCCACTCTGAGTCATCTGGCTTCCTTGCTCAGGCTCCTCCTTGCCCAGGGCTCCGTTCCCTGTGCCCTGCTCGCTCCTGCCAAGTGAAAGTGATTAATTAGCCTGTGCATTCTGTCTCCCAGTTGCTCCCAGTGTCCTGGCAGCTAGGGACTCCTCCCTCCATTTTTGCTGGTGGGCATATTCAGACCTGAGGGTGCGTCACAAATGTGGTTCTGCCCTAGCGTATTATTAGATCTTCTAAGATGCTACAAACATCTTCATAAGCAGGAGGAAAGTTCACACAATATTATAGTGGTTATGAAATAGATCAGTACACACAGACTCAAACTACTTACAGTAGTGCCATGAATTTAAACGTGTTTTCTTTTAATGGGTTTGAATTGTAAATTTATTGTAAATTTTTCTTGGGAGTACATTCTTACTCATCTGTCTGACAGTAAAGGCCAGTGTCTCAGGTCGGCTGAAGCGGAGGGCATGGGCTCACAATCAGTGATTCAGGGCAGGGCAGGGTGTGGACGTGTCTCCCGAAGTAACTCTGCCTGAGCCCTGAGCCAGCTGGACGGGGCCCTCTCATAGTTGACACTCTTCACTGATTACATCGTGAACATAGTTTTTATGTGTGACCTGAGTCTTTCCCCGAATGGTACTTGTTTTGAGTAGAGTCCAGTATTCAAGCCTATTGTCCCTGTAGTTTTGAATGGCCCAGCAAATTCTGCTAAATCTGAGGACTTTTATCAGTTTGGTTCTCTAAAAATACAAAATTTCCCCCTCACTGACTTTTAGACCTATAGTATTAGTGAGATTATGTGATTGGATTATCCTTTTTCACCCCTTCCTTTCGCATAAGGGATCTCCCTACTTAAGGAATGTGAATGGCACCTGTGGCCCAGGAAAAGGTACCGGACCTAAGAGTGGAAAACTTGGGTCTGAGTCTAGAACCTGCCATTCATTAGTTCTCTGCCCAGTGGGCCAGGCCCTTCACACACCAGAGCCTCAGCTTCTCCATCCGTAACACAGGACGGTCACCCCTCCTCTGTCTGCTGTGGCGTTGTGTTAGGTCCCACATAGGGTTAGGCATGAAAAGTGCTTTCTAAATTCTATGATGCAGCATAACTGATTTTAATGCACGGTTTTTATTGTGTTGACCCTATTTGCCATGTATAAAAAGGCAGCTGTGTGACACTGGGCAAACAATCTCTCTGACTCCCATTTTCTCATTTGTAACTGAGATGACCCGAGAGTTGTTGGGGGAAAATGCTCAGTCAAGTTTAACTTATTACTGTGAGGTGGCATCATACATTTAACTTACTGGCTTCCGAAGAGCTGAAGAGTCCAACCCCCTGCTAATCCTCTGACCCCCTTCATAGTAACTCAGGGTGGCCATTATTTTAATTGTTACAGCAAGCGAATATACTAATGTGAATTATGGTTCTAGAGGTTTAGTATTAAAAACAGTGAAATAAATTGCAGATAAAGCAGGAACATTTTAGAATTCTCCACTCATCTCCACCTATGGCGACTTGATTGCTATCTGGAAAAGGTAGACTGGTTTGAGTGCTTGTACATCTACATAAAGAGTTTTTGTTTCACCCTTAGTCTTATGTGGTGGTTCTGACATGAGAAATCACTGTAGGGGTTGTACATTTAAAACCATGCTCTTGTACTCGGGGGGCTAAGTAAGGGGTATTTGAAGTGAGTTTTGACTATAAGCCCCTTTCTTCAAATACTGGCTTTGGGGCTTCCCTGGTGGTGCAGTGGTTAGGAATCCGCCTGCCAGTGCTGGGGACATGGGTTCAAGCCCTGGTCCGGGAAGATCCCACATGTTGTGGAGCAACTAAGCCCATGCACCACAACTACTGCACTCTAGAGCCTGTGAGCCACAACTGCTGAAGCCTGCGCACCTAGAGCCTGTGCTCCGCAACAAGAGAAGCCACCACAATGAGAAGCCGGCGCACCTCAACGAAGAGTAGCCCCCGCTCGCTGCAACTAGAAAAAGCCCGCGTGCAGCAATGAAGACCCAGCACAGCCAAAAATAAATAAAATAAAATTAAATTAAATTAATTTTTTAAAAAATTTTAAAAAAATACTGGCTTTAGAACTGACCTTACCAATCATCCAGCACATGTGTGCTGGGGCCTTTTGAGTCATTTTCAGGCCAAGCAGTGCTGGAGCCACCTCTGCTGGCTGGTGGGAGCTGAGTGTTAAATTTTCAGGCTCTCGTGAGGCCGCTGATGTTACACTGGCAGATTGAAATTAGCTGTGATTGGAGTATTTGTACTGTGGAACCTGACAAACTTCACACATCAGAACTGTTCCCACTCCCCTGCCACAAAGTCCATTGTTAAACATTTACCTGCTTTCTGCACACCACTGTTTTCTGCACACATGAGAATCATGACATTTTAGCCTAAGCAGGAGCCTTTTAGTCTGTGTAGCCTCCCTCTCTCCAAGGCTGACAGAGCTGCAGTAAAGTTGATTTTATTTATGAGACAGAAGAGAGCTGCTGATTTCATTTATGAGATAGAACTGAGAAAACCATGTCTGTCAAATTAGGGCTACAGTCGTGATAATTACTATGGCTTCCAAGGAAGTGTAGACTATTGACGAAGACTTGGCATTCTTGGGCTCGTTTGCCTCAGAGAGCAAAATCGTTGGCTTTAATAATAACTTTAGGAAACACCAGTTTTCGGGAGACAGAATTCCGTCTATGCCCTCTCTTGTACCCTCTCTGGGTGTAATGATGGAGATTTCAGCCCTGGTGTTCTCCTCTTTTAAAAATGTGGTGGTTCTAACTGCATTTACCAGAGGTGTGGTGAGCTAACCCAGGTCACACAAGTCTGCAACAGAATGTAGAATACAATAGAGCCACCAGAGAAGACATTGAAAAAGAACGAATTTGTATTTTTTTTTAATGTATAAAAGCTTATTGCAATGAGGTGACTGCATTTAAAACCCTCTTTGTGGATTGCAGCTGATTTTTGTGTGTGTCACGGTTTGATATTCAGGAGTCCTGTGAAGGAATGCTGTCTGCTTGGAGCCTCACCTTTCATTACAACGGAGCCCTGAAACCAGTTGCATTTCAAAACCTTATATCTGGAAGACTTATCAGGGCTTTGGCCTTAAAAGGAATGTCTTCCTCCTAATCTTCGTGAAACAAACGTGTGTGTGTGTGTGTGTGTGTGTGTGTGGAGTGTAAGCTCTCCTGTGGTTATTGGTTTAGGAGAACCCACCCTCTGTTAACTGTCTTCAGTCCACTGAAATCTCTTTTCAAAGGGATGTATTTGTGTATATTTGATATATACATATAAATATTTTTGTAGGGAATGAAAAAGAGCCGAGTAGATGCAAAAAAAATTGGTCCTCTCAAACTGGCTGCCCTAAATGGACTCTCCCTGTCTCGACTGCCTCTGCCTGATGAAGGAAAGGAGGTGCCTGCCAGAGCCACGAATGATGAGAGGGTACGTACCAGACCACGGGTCTGCACGCCTGCCCTGGAACAGCTGATACAGTGTTGCAGAACTGCCTTCTTGAGATTTTACTGAATTTTCTAACACATTTGATAATTATAAATGAGTGTTAGGAATTTTGTCATCTGGCCTTCAAAACTGGGGCAAATTTATAGCTAATGTCTTAATAGATAATTTCAGGCTAAATGTTGATTTTTGTCTGTTGGTTTCTGAATACTGTTCTTTACCGTCTTCTGGCCATGAAGTTAGAGGAAATGTGCAAATGCGTACACATAGGAAGGAAAGCAGATATCGACTGCTTTCATTACATCGAAAACTTAACAGTGAATGGTTACTGAATTTTTCAGAACTTTGTGACTGAGATGTATTTGCTATGAGGTTCTATTATATCAAAATTAGACAGGCATGAATTATGCTAAGCAAAAATTAATTTGCTTACAACTGGATCCTGGAGACAGTTTCCAATAATGTTTTCTGTTTTTTATATATATTATAAAATTGAAGCATTTGTTCATAGAGGTTGGAATTGATTATCCTACTTTAGGATTTACTGTTCTCCAGGAGAATTTTCCATTCTTAGGGAGTCATATACTTGACTGTAGATTTAGAGAAGATGAATTCAACGAATTGTTTTAGGCCAAGTTTACACAGAAGTCTGCATCATGTTTCTCACCAATAATATTATTTCATTTGTTCTTTTGTTGTTATGACTTGTTGAATTTAACTTTGGTTTCATCTAGAATTTTCAATATTAGATAATACTGGACTTGAAGCAGAAAATGAGATTTCAAGTGTACGGTCAAAATACAGCTGTGGCATGGGACTGTATTTATATCATTCCTCACTTTCTATTTTTCAGTGTAAAATTCTGGAACAGCGGTTAGAACAAGGAATGGTATTCACAGAATATGAAAGAATTCTTAAAAAACGGCTCGTTGATGGGGAGTGCTCAACAGCACGACTCCCTGAAAATGCAGAAAGAAATCGGTTCCAAGATGTTCTTCCCTATGACGATGCCAGAGTGGAACTGGTCCCAACCAAAGAAAACAATACCGGTTACATCAACGCGTCACATATTAAGGTGAGGGGAACGTTTAGAGTGATACACAGGATGTGAAGTTTCCAGTTAAATTAGGAGAATGGTAAGAATTGTATTCATGTCTATTTTCTAAAAACATCCTAGTTTTGAACCATTGGGACAAACTGTACTGTAAGTTGGGAAATCCATACACCAAGGCTGGACACACAGTGTTTGCTCCCTCCATGTGTTGGATCCCTCTGCGCCCAGCATTGTTACCAGGACTCCGGGACCACTTATTTGACTTGAGAACTTTGTGCTTCTAAATCTGAAGACCTCTTTATAGCTCATAAATTCTCTCAAGAGCAACTGAATTGCTAGTTTTTCCTTACCACATACCTACATGCATTTTTATGTAAAAGAAGTGTCTGGTGTTTACCAAAGCTTTTCCTTATGGTGGTGCCACCTGTACTCTTTGCATACTCTCTTAGTCATTTTTTTTTTTTTTTTGCGGTATGCGGGCCTCTCACTGTTGTGGCCTCTCCCTCCGCGGAGCACAGGCTCCGGACGCACAGGCTCAGCGGCCATGGCTCACGGGCCCAGCCGCTCCGCGGCATGTGGGATCCTCCCGGACCGGGGCACGAACCCGTGTCCCCTGCATCGGCAGGCGGACTCCCAACCACTGCGCCACCAGGGAAGCCCAGTCATTTTTTTTTAAGATTGTTACAAGTTTAAGTACTTTCGTGCCTCCAGCCTTTCTAGCATTCTCCCAGTTTTAAATTTATTAATTTATTTATTTTTATTTTTTAGGCCACGTCGGGTCTTAGTTGCCGCACAAGAGATCTTCGTTGAGGCATGCGGGATCTTTTGTTGTGGTGCGCCGCTCTTCATTGTGGCGTGTGGGCTTCTCTCTAGTTGTGGCATGCGGGTTTTCTCTTCTCTAGTTGTGGTGCACAAGCTCCAGGGTGTGTGGGCTCTGTAGTTGTGGCGCGTGGGCTTAGTTGCCCTGCAGCATGTGGGATCTTAGTTCCCTGACCAGGGATCAAGCCCGCGTCCCCTGCATTGGAAGGCGGATTCTTTACCACTGGACAACCAGGGAAGTCCCTCTTAATCATTTATTTTCTTTTGTAGCCATTAAATATTTTATAAGAACAATTTTTTTAAATTAATTAGTTTATTTTTGGCTGTGTTGGGTCCTCGTTGCTGCGCACAGGCTTTTCTCTAGTTGCGGCGAGCGGGGGCTACTCTTCGTTGTGGTGCGTGGGCTTCTCATTGCGGTGACTTCTCGTTGCAGAGCAAAGGCTCTAGGCGTGCGGGCTACAGTAGTTGTGGCACGTGGGCTCTAGAGCACAGGCTCATTAGTTGTGGCGCATGGGTTTAGTTGCTCCACAGTGTATGGGATCTTCCTGGACCAGGGATCAAACCCATGTGCCCTGCATTGGCAGGCGGATTCTTAACCACTCTGCCACCAGGGAGGTCCCCCTTTTAATCATTTTTAAACATTATTTTGTTCTTAAGCAGTGCTGCTTTTTCCCTGTAAACAGTATAATGCCGTTTAACTGGGGTAACGTTACACCCATTAAAATGGAAAAAGTGATGGTTCACAACAGGAAGGTGAGAAAAGCCAGATGCTCTGTCTTCTCCATGCTGGCTGGAGAGTCAGTTCGTTGTTTTGGGAAGAAGAAATTTCCTTATAGTGAGTGAATGAGTAAGTGTCTATGGGCAGGTGTTATTTTCCTTCTTTCCCACATTTTATTTAGTTTGCAAGTGATGTTTGATGAGAGCTGTTTCACACTTAAGACTTTGTAGAGGCCCAGCAGTCTGCCTCTGAATGCCAGTACCCTTGATGGTCTTTGGGAATTTGTGCACAAGCTTTTTAAACATGGACATAAGTTATTTAAAAACTGAGCATCTCTTTGGAATAGCTTAGCCAGTCTCCCGTGACTGGGTGGATGAGGGTTGAATAACATTGTGGTTCTGTGGTGGTATTTCAGAATCTTCAGAGACAGCCCGAAGAACAGTGGAAAGAGTCTGACTTCAGAATTCGTGGATCGACCACTTAGCAGTGTGGGACCTCGTTGTACTTATCTCTGAATAAGGAAGTGCTGACCTCCCCCATTTTGCTCCCCATTAGATCCTTCCTCCCTGGTTCTTGTTCGCTGTGGTGCCTGGTGCCACACACCACGGGCCCAGTGGGAGGGTGGGGGTGTGACTCAGGCTGCAGCCTTAAATGGGGGCATGAGTGGAAGGGTGTGTGGCCCAGGGTTTACACTCGGGGCACTCGGAAAGCGGGTATGGTTGTCACTCAGCAGTGGGGGAGCCGAGATTTAACCCAGATTTCCTGACTACAAATCCTGTAATTACTATATTAGACTGTTTTCAAGGAGGTTAAATCCTAAGTGGAAATTTAGTATGGAGGGTGATCCAGACTCAGAAGTTCAGAGGTGAACTCCTTAGGTAGGAAGACCTTTTTCCCCTAGAAATTTGATGTTTAACTTAGGTTTTGACTTAATTGCTAGTACTTGATCCAGTGTGTGTAGTACTTGACGAGGGAAAATTGTGTTTGAAATTTGGGATATGATGACGTTGAGATTATTTTTATGAGAAGAACCTAACAGCAGCAGTAACAATCGTTTATTAAGAACCTATCATGTGCAGGGCACCATACATATTGGCTTGTTTAATCCTGACAGCATGAGGGTAGGGAATATTTTTATTGTATAGATGAAAATTGAAATTTGGAGAGCTTAAGGAAATTGCCCTAGGTCACATAGATACTATGTGAATTCATAGCGCATACGTTTATAAAGATATCAGTAATGGAAATGGCACTAATAAGGAAAAAGAATAAGATAAAAGTCTTTCTTTATTCTGCTGAATATTTCAGTTAGTTTTTTTCATATTACTGTGAACAAATGTATATACATGTATTATACACGTCCATATTAATTTTTTTTAAAACCTTTTCTAATTTCAGGTCTCTGTCAGTGGAATTGAATGGGATTATATTGCCACTCAGGGACCATTACAAAATACCTGTCAGGACTTTTGGCAGTTGGTGTGGGAACAGGGAATTGCAATTATAGCAATGGTGACAGCAGAAGACGTAAGTACTCATTTCTCCTAATTGATTTTCTCAGCCTCAGAAAAACAGTTTATTTTGATCATGTGTAATCTTGACTTTTAGAGAAAAGGGCAGAGGGTAAGGTTGCAGTTCTGAGTTTCAGACGTGCTCTCTGTGAGGGGCATCCTTTGCTGGCTCTTGTATTGTGTTTTAACTGCACTTGTCTCTAACAGGAGGGTGGAAGGGAGAAGAGCTTTAGGTACTGGCCACGCCTTGGTTCCAGGCACAACACTGTCACCTATGGAAGGTTTAAGATCACCACCCGGTTCCGCACAGACTCTGGCTGCTATGCCACCACGGGCTTGAAGATGAAGCACCTTCTCACGGGGCAGGAGAGGACAGTGTGGCATCTCCAGTACACAGACTGGCCTGAGCATGGCTGTCCAGAGGACCTCAAGGGATTTTTATGTAAGTATCTTCATTCCCAGCACGGCCTTTGCCAGAGCTGTTAAACCCACCACAGAGAGGAAGACTTAAGTTCCTGAAACATTTCCTTTATTTATGTTGTCCCATGTAAGCTGTGGGCTTGTTTTAAAATAAAAATTTCAAGTGTTTTGGGGAGGCTTAACGGAAGAGGTTTTAAAGCATAATTTGGTAATGCGTAGAATGCCATTACTGACTCCTAGAGTTTCTCCTCCTTTGCATTTTGTAGATGAGAAAACGGAAGCCCAGGAGGAGTCAGGGACTTGCCCAAGATCACACTGCCAGTTAATCGTTGGGGTTGGTTAAATGGCACCTGGTGCTCTGTATCTGGAGGTTTCTTAATCAGTGGAGATGATCTGAAAATTGTCAATTTGATAGGCCTTAATCCCTTTGTATTTTTCTGTTTCATTGATATTTCACAGCATACCTTGAAGAGATCCAGTCTGTTCGACGCCATACAAATAGTACAAGTGAACCAAAAAGCCCCAACCCTCCGTTACTGGTCCACTGCAGTGCTGGCGTGGGACGGACTGGCGTCGTTATTTTGTCAGAGATCATGATTGCCTGTCTGGAACACAACGAGGTGCTTATTTCCCCTGCTGATGAGGGGAGAGGTGGGCTGGGCACAAGGCCAGGGAAGAGAGGGACCTAGTGACCTGATAGCTCTTTCTGAACAAATGTCCTCGGGGATTCTCTATTGAAGATGCTAATGCTCTGATTGAAGCCACATTTCTGCTAGGACGCTCGCTCCCCCCGCAGGGTGTGCATTACCCTCATCACTGCTTCTCTCACTCTAGGTGCTGGACATCCCACGGGTGCTGGACATGCTGAGGCAACAGAGAATGATGATGGTGCAGACCCTCTGCCAGTACACGTTCGTATACCGAGTTCTCATTCAGTTCCTGAAAAGCTCAAGGCTCATATAAGCTCCCACAACTTCCTACGGGGACCCGATCATGTGAAGCGTTTACAGCGGAAAAAAAAAGTGCTTGCCGAACTCATGCTCTCTCCTCCACTCGGTGCACGCGGAATGCTACATCAGGACGTAAGTGACGGGATGAATGGTGGCACATGGAAGGAAGTATGCAGAGCACAAGGCTGAAGAGGGGGTTTAACCTGGGAAAGATGCCGAAGAGGAAGGACTTGGTTCTGAGGGCGTTGCCCTGCTCTGATCTGTCCGATTTGCAGTACTTGCACACATTTGGAGATTGTATTTTCTAGATAATTCTCTATTTCGCTGAAGCTACGCTGGGCAATTCTGGCAATCACTAAGGCGTATAGGTTTCTATCTTAAACTAGTTTTTGATAATGGAATTTTATTTTATGACTAAAATATTTGGGGTTTTCTTATTAAGAAACTGAACTTTCCATGGGGATCATCCACAGATGTGAGTAGTTCCTATATAACTTTGTATTTAAAACTATGTTATTATCTTTTGTTATTTTTAAAAAATCTTGGGTACTTAACAATGTAGTTACCAAACCCCAAGCTACAAGAAGAATCTAAAAGTGTTATTTTGAAACATAGAAAACATTTTTATATTCAGAAAACTTTTTATCCTAAAAATTCTATATATTTGTACCTTCTGTATTTTCCAAACAAGAGTTCAGCTCATTAAGGTACTGAGATGAGTCAGTTAATGTAAGTTAAAGTTGGGAATGAAGGCACATTATTTAAAATGTATGAAAATAATCAGATTCACTATTCTTTTTTCAGTATTATTCATAAACCCAAATGGGTTTGATTTTATTGGTTGAAAATGAAGTGAAAAACAATTGCATAAGATGGTTTTAAGCACTTTTTGTTGTTGAAAACAATAAATCTGAGTTTTTAATATATGTGTTGCTTTATAGGTGAAACAGTAACAACGGACATATTGAAAGTGTTCTGGAAGAGATCAGGAATGAGTATGTAGGATGACTAGGACAAGAGTAAGTGCAGTGTAAATGCACGATGGTGAATGCAAGCTGCCTTTGTCTTTACAGAAAATGCAGTGTTATCTATACTCAGACTGAGATTCTGGCATGGAGAGTGGGGGGCTTGGGAAGAGTCTGGGGGCTGACCCCCCGAGGAAGGTATCCCCAGGAAATTCAGGGCCCATCACTGGCAGTGACTCGCTCTGTTTCCTTGAAGTTCTTCCACCTGCACCTCTCTTCTTTTTTTTAACAAATCAGGTTTATGTGATGATTAAAAGAAGCCTTGGGGCTTCCCTGGTGGGGCAGTGGTTGAGAGTCCGCCTGCCGATGCAGGGGACACGGGTTCATGCCCCGGTCCGGGAAGATCCCACATGCCGCGGAGCGGCTGGGCCCGTGAGCCATGGCTGCTGAGCCTGCGCGTCCGGAGCCTGTGCTCCGCAACGGGAGAAGCCACAGCAGTGAGAGGCCCGCGTACAGCAAAAAAAAAAAAAAAGCCTTGAAGAGGCTTTATTTTCTTTTGGTTGAAAGAAGGGAAGTGTTAGTAATAGTCTTACCTCATCTCCCAAAACCGCAGCCCAGACTTGCGGGGCCCCTGGAGATGACCATGGTGTTCAAGATGTACCGGAACTTTGGCTTCTTAATCCTCTAACTTCACACCTGAGGTCAACTTTAGCTCCGCTCCCCCAGTCCCATGTAGGCCCATCCCAGGGGGCAGGACCAGGCCAGGCTGGCATGGCCTGGTCACATGCGAGCTGAAGAGGTAAGGAAGGACGAACTGGTCCGTTTAGCTGAGCAGCCATCTCTTTCTTCCTTTTTGAGGCTGCGTCTCCACAACATAGAGCTTCTGAAATGTCAAATCCAGGATTATTTCCCCAAATTACTATATCCTAGGGATAGTTCTGATTCCCGTGTTAACTCCTAAAGCAGTTTAACTCATTATTGTCACCGCTAAGTGTGTGTCATTAGCTGTAAGTCAGGATTTCCTTTATACAGTGTGTGTATCTGCCGAGCTATGACCCAGAAACCAACCACCTGAGAGGAAAATTCAGACGGTATTGATGAAAATATTGAAAGTGGGCAGGTTTCTCACTTGGGAACAAAGAATTGATTTTAAATCTAAAATTGTTTAAAGAACAATAGACCCAAGTGCAAATATTCAGGAAGAGCTCCCCAGGAGAATGGAATAAGAGTTTTTTATTGTAATATTTCCCATCTCCACACCATGTAGAGTATTTCTGATGCTTTTTTTCTTCCATGGTACGTTTTTTAAAAAATGCTTTTCTGTCAGGTTTCAACATTTTGAAGTGTCCCATTGACAAGAACATACTGTAAAACAAAATCTAAAGAGTAATACATGGTATGTTTGTGTTCCTGTTGTAATAATTTGATTATAAGAAAATTACTTATGAGGGCTAAATTACACTGTATAAATGTCACTCTTAAAACTCGCATGTTTGACATAGCTTTAAGACCCATGTAATTTTTTTGTGTCCCTTTTGAATTTTTAGACTTTTAATTAACAGTTAGTGAATATGAAAGTATTTCTGAATAAAAATAAATCTACATTACTAGACTTTGAAGCAATGTGATTTTCAAGGGCAAACTGTAGAACACTGAGGTTTCCATAGGCTCACCATGTCTGAGTTGAGGATGTTCTGTCTGCCAAACTTACACAGTGCTTCAGTATTTTAGTGTCTTTTAGTTTGTTGATATTCTTAATTTCATATCAAAATTACCCAAATATACATTTTCACAAAAAGTAGGTTATAAACCAGTGTTTTCCACTGATCATCGTTGGCATGTCTGGCATCAGTTTTCCTGATTAGTGGACTCTTTTGATAAAATACTCTAGTTGGTAGTTTTGAACACAGGAAGTATTCATTTTAGAGTATCATTTGAAATGTTAATTGCAATCATTATTACATATATTCTTCTGGAACACCTACTGTGAAATATTCAGAAAACCCTAGAATTTAGCCTTTAAAACATTTTGGCAGGATTAAAACAGAAGCTGTGCTTCCTTAGAAATTCCCAGAAAGACCAAGGTCTAGGCAGAAACCCGGAGGAGGAGTGTAGGACGGAGTGATGACAGCATGGCATGGCCAACTTTTTTGTGAAGCTTTCATCACGAGAAGAGACATCATTTCAAATGGGTTGATAAGTTAATGTTCACAATATTAAGAAAATATAAATGTCCATATTATACATAATATGAAACTTTACATGTATTAAAATATAAAGAATTACTGTTTATTTTAAGTCATTTAAAAAATCAGACATTTTAAAGGAATTCTTTTAGATGTAAATTTAGGGAATTTGCTTTCCATCAAGATTTCATGAGGAATAAGCTAAACCATCTCTTTCCAGTTTAAAGTTTATTAAAATAATCTAAATTGGAGGGGGCTCTTTTTTTGAACTGAGGGATAGACATTTCAAAAATAGAGGAATAGATACTTGAGGAATTTGCCTGGGAAAACAATTCTCGAAAGAACATGAATTTTTCAAATTCCTGAGATAAGGGCTCCATTTACCCTAAGTAGCTATAATTACTTATACAAAATGAGGAAAAATCAGAAAGTCTGGTTGTTTAAGGTTTGCATGTGTTAGGGGTGGGTGGATAGAGGATTTCAGAACACATTTGAAGGGGTCCTTGGGTTGTTAAAGTGGCATAGTTTTCTATATAGTTCAGGTAGTTCCCAAATAAGAATTAATGCTCTAAAAGGTCAGATATATGTTAAATTATTGAGAGTATTGTTTACAAGGGGAAATATTGCTATAAGTGGGTATCAACTTTCTTGGTTTGCCCTCCCAAAGCTTATTTAAACCACAGGGGCTCTGAAAGGTAGACAGTGGTGGTCACCTCCCCGTCATCCGTACTCTAAGAAAAATACACAGCAGCTTTCCTCCTTACTGCACCCTGCTGGTGAGAGCACAAAGCATTCTCTCTGGGTCTGCCGGGCAGTGGGGACAAGGCCTCAGCAAGCAACTGGAGTCAGATTGATCCAGTGTCCCATGAAAGAATTCCACGTAACGTTAATGTCCCATCATTTGCCTCAGAAACTCGAGTGGCACATGAAGAGTAAGGAACAGCATGGGATATATGATGAAGATGAGCAGGGATGCTGCCTCTGAGACTGCCTGTGAGGCGGGGCGGGGTGAAGGAGGATGAATTGGCAATGCGTCCCCGTACTTTTCCTGTTTCCGTTTACGTATCTACCTTTGGATTGTCACTGGCCTGAAATGGGCAGTAGAAGATGGGCCTGGATCAAGAAGGAAGTATAAGGTCTGCAGCACCCAGCTGAGGAAGCAGCAGTTCCAAGGCAAATATTCCCATGTAAAGAGTATCTCTAGGTCACATGTATACGATTAGGGCCTGGCTGCACATCATATTTCCAAAAATGTTTAAATTAAAATACTTAGTTTTAAAAAACTAGAGTAAATCTGAACTTTGTCCAATATGTTGCTGGGTTAAGAAAGAGGTAGTAACCATATACTTATTTTAAATTATCCTTTAATATTATAAATAAGTATAAATGAGTGATGAGAAAGGAGTGATTGTTTGAACTACCTGTAGGACTAACAGTTTGGCTAACATACTGTTCCAAATTTTTGAAAATTACTTATTAGGTAGATATTTTGATCATTATTCCTTCCATTAAGTATGACTGTGGTGTGTCATATAAAAGGACCATTTAAAATCTCGAAGATGCTTTGGCTTTGAATCTATAATATAGTGTACCCATACTGGCTATAGCAGTACATGATTCCAGTGTAATAAATCTGCAATTTTAAACTGAACTGGTAGGGGTTTTATAAACTGTGTATGAAGACCAGTACTTAATTTTGGTTGTCACTACCGACATTTTAAGTGTGCCTGTGTAGTTTAAATTCACGCTCTAAAAGCTTGGTGAAGAAAAGATGTACAGTAGTCACTCTTAGGAACAGGTCTGTGCTACCAAAGAAATTCAGAAGGTTGGATTGTCTAGGTTATCTGGAACATGAACCTGTC